CAATTAGAGCTGCAGTGCAAGGTTTTTTACCCCTCTCTTTCTCCTTCCTGCAGAGATGACCAGATCCATGGTAGTGGCTGCCTGGTCTCACCAGAAGCAGGGTGGGGACTAGAAGCTGGATTGGGAACAGTTTTGTTGGGAATGGCCCCAGCAGAAAACCAAGGGGAGGCTATAGCTCCAGTTTTATCTTTCCCCATCCTGGGATAACCCCTGGAGCTGCACCCAGCCCTGTCTGGTCCCATCCATGGGCAGCAGTGAGGCTTCAGCATCACAGGAGCTGCTGTTCCCCCTGCTGAAATGGACAGAGAACAACAACAATGCATTGGGGAATCCAGGGAAAGGGCCCATCTGTCTGTCTTGCTTTTGAGGATGATTAGGGACAGTATTTGACTTGGCTAGCATGGAAAATGACACAGAATGGCAATGCTGAGGCTGATAGCCTGGCAGTGGTGAGGAGAGGGAGGAGCAAAAAGATGAACTGAAATCGCAGCCTCTCCTCCAGTGGCCAGAATGAAACCCACAGCTAGACACAGGCAAGAAATAAGCCTGCTTGTTCCTGAAATGCTGAAAAGTCCCATATGTTCAGCTCCTGATGCACCCCATCTCAGCCTTGTCTCTCCTCCTGCAACCAGGGCCCCATCCCACTGCTCCTGGACACGTGCCTTTCCCTCATGCCACGTCAAAATGCTCCCAACCAGTTTTTATCCTCACTTCTCACTAGAAGTGACCTTATTTTCTGTATTTCCACCTTTCCCAGTCCATAAGTCTCTAGCAATTATTGGACAGTTTGAACCTCATACTGGTTTCTTCTTCAATTTTTAATGGAGGCATTGAATGTTGTCAAGTCGGATTCATTATTGAGTGAATACTTTATAACACCATCAGCAATGAGCCATGTGCTGCAATCAAAAACATCAATGTGATTTATTTCAATTGTATTTATTTTCTGTAATTTTTTATTCACCAAGTTATTTATCAGCTCCTCCACTTCTTTTGCCAAGGATCAATTTCAAGCTGTAAATCAGTAACAGCATTTGTCTTAGAAATACTTGGCTCTCCAAATTTGCCTTTTTAAAATACTGGCACAGCTCCAGCTCTTTTCCAGTCTTCTGCAACTTCCTCAGCACCTCAGTGTAACTGAAAATAATGAGGACTTAAGGAGCTCTTTGGCCATGTCCTAAATTTAATGAAATGCTGGCGATGTCATTATTTTCATGCCAGGGTGTATCCCAGTGGGGATGCTAATTTTGTCATGGCTGTTTCACCCCACTGCTCTTGCAGGGAGCATTCATGGTGCCTGTATCATGCTCACCATGACTTTGCTGGAGCCCCAGGGGAAGCTCTACCAGTGATGGTAAAACAAGGGGTCCAAGAGTAAAACACAATGAACAAAGCAGCTCAAACCACTGCCTTGCACAAATCACTTTGACACTTTGTCAGTCGCACCTCACCACTGCAATCACTGGAAGGAATAGCCATTAATTAACTTTGTCAGGTGAAATTTCTTTAATTACCTACTTCCAGGAAACTCCCACTTTCAGCTGCTGCTGACAGTCCAAAGGACACATCTCCTAGCAGTAATTTTTTTGAAAAGCCCTGAAAAATTTCCAGGGGATGAAGTCATGTGTGGCTCACCTCTGGCTGCGTAGGGCTGGTGCACATCCTGGAATCACCTGCCTGTGATGAGCAGAGAGCCCAACAGGCTGAGGGTGCAGGAGGAAGGTGGTTAGCCAACCTGTCCTGTAATCCATGGGCATTCTTCAGTGACCTTTTCTTTCTTCCCTAAAAAGTAAAAGGAACCCAGAGCAGACTGCCCAGAGAGCTGCTGTTCCTTGAGCCCTGACAGCACCATGAGGAGATGCTCAGCAGCAGCTGGAATTCAGCACACTCTGCCCTCACTACTGAACAGATGTTCATTGGGTTGTCAGGGCACTGAGAGGGAGCTAAATTAATTGTAAGTGGGAGCAGGTTAGTTAAATCTGCTCTGGAAGTATTATATAGCCATTAAACTGCGTACAAAACTCAATAATAATGGTAATAACGTTCTTCCTAGGAATTAAATAGAAGCTCAATTTATAATGCTGCTCGGCATTCAAACCAGAGTGTTCCACCTTCCTGGTACATGATCAACATTTTGTAATTAATCCTCACAAAGCCTCGGTGAGGCAGATCTCTTCACACCACTGATTCTGTGGATAAATGGGAACAAGGAGGTACAAGATGCCTCCTTTGAAGCTGTGGTTGCCTATGTCTTCAAACATGATTTGCATCTCTGGGAGCCCACTCAGCATCTGTGTTTGAATAATGAGAGGTTTGTAAAAAGCCTCGGAGCCTGGATCAGATGCCCAGGTCTCTTTGTGCCACTTCCCTGTGCTGGGATCATTGTGGCATGTTTCAGTGTGATTCTGCAGTGCAACCTTGAGAATAATGATATTTTCCCTGCCTGGTCCTATTGATGATCTTCAGATGGAAAGCCCATGATGTCAGGTCTCAAGTATGAGCTGCAGGAATTGGCCAATACAACAGCTGCTAATTTTGTCAAGATTTAAAAGAACAAACCTTACCACCAACTGGAAGCTGTTTCTTTCCAGAAAATGATTGTATCAGATGTGGCCTGTCAAATAAATGTAAGAGCAATTTACACCAGGATGGTGGAATACTCATCACTACAGGCAAATTGGAATTATCTAGTGTCACTTCAAAATGATCTCCTGTCTCCCTGTCACTGTTTAAGGCACAGCACGAATAAACAGAGGGTGTAATGAAAGGGAGCTTCACCCCAGCACCAAACTGCAACTGAAGTAGGGAATTTCCCACTGATTTTAGTTTAACTCCTGTCTGCTCACAGTGGATATTGAGTTTACAGCTGATTCCACACCCTGCACAAGGACTCCTCACAACAGAGACAAGAGAATCTGCAACACTCATCAAAGAGCAAATAAAAATGGCATGGACACAGCTGGGACTGACATGGAGTTGTGCAGACATGATGTTAGCTGTGAAAATGGGGATCTAAGGTCCAACTTCCCAGGTAATCCATGGTTTAAAGTATCACTCTGGGAGCCTAAGAAGTAGTCTACTTTCAGGCACCACCAAGCTTAGCTGAAGTTCTTGAAGGCTTGAACAAGGAAGCCTTTTTTGACATTTTTTCAAGGTCATTTTTGGCTAGACAACTCTTGTCACAACAAAAGCAGCAATTCCCAAACAGAACAACTCAGCATCAGTGATGGACTGTCCAGAGAAAGCAGCACAGCCTCTATATAGTCAGTAAAAAAAAAGCAGTTCAAGAGTTTATTACAATTTTTGATACATCAGAGATGTCACTAATAATATTTTAATATATGTAACAAAGAAAGAAAATGCTCTTTACTAGTTGGAAAGATTGGCCCACGGTTGGGGGGCAGGTCAGAGCCTCTTTCATGGGAGTTAGAAGATTACTCCCCATCCCACCCATCTTCTCCTTGAATTAATTAACATTAAAAATTAGTTTTTACGAGACAAGACATGCCACATAAAAATCGGATTCACTGAAAATATTCTCCTTTGCTTTCAATGAGGGCAGAGTTTTACCCAATATTTCTAACAGAATTTTATAAGATGGTGTTAAGGAAGATGTCAAGGGCTATCCTATTTCTCTTCTTGCCAAAAGGCAGGATCAACACTGTCCATGTCAGGGCAGATGGGTGTTTGTCTAACTGGTCCTGAAAGGGCTGCAACACTTTAACAGCACCTTGACCTCTGCTTCCATTTTCACCTGTCCAGAGACAGCAAAAGAAAAAGAGCCAACTCTCTTTTATTGCCAACTCTGCCAGGATTTTTGTCTGGTTTAAAGGACCAGCGACAATTTTAACATCTGATGTCTCACGATCCACTACAGATAGACATGAATACCACCCAAGCCCAGGGAGCTTTACCATCATTTATTGACATCTTTCCCTTTTATCTCTTCTTGAGATACCCGACATGAAATCGGGTCATTCAGATTTCCATCTTGTATTTTTTCCCCTGTTTTAATTGTGGTCTGATTTCAGTGGCTGTCCCAAAACCAATTTAATACTAAAGCTTTCCTTTATCTGCAGACCCATCAGTCCTTCAGTAGGGCAGAATAAAGTGTGTAACCCTAATTCTAGGAGTGAAATGCCAACTATTATAATTAAGTTGGCAATGTGGAAAGGCAGGGAGACAACAGAGCAGTAACAACCACATGGGATGGAGCCTTAGAGGGGCGGGCAGAGAAGGACAGGTGGACAAAAAATAAATATTCAAGCCTTGCAGGAGAAAAGCTCCATTGTTAGATTATGCTTCCAGAAAGAAATATCACCTGCCATTAACTGCCCTTTGCTTGCAACCCAGTGCTCATGGAAACAAAATGGGGGTTTTGCTTTGGTTTCAAGTTCTGGATTGCATTCAGAAATAGTAAAACACAACTCCTCATTGAAAGGCAACTCAAAATACACCCCTTGCATCCCCTGAAACTACAGGAAATCTGCCCACAGCTGCTCAAAGTACATTAATGTTTTAAAATGGGAAACAACAGGCAGGAAGATTAGCATTTACAGCTGGTATTTCTGAACATAAAGGTCTGAGGCAGATGCTCACACGTAGCAGCTGGGGAATGAGAGGTGAGTTTCCCATGCATTCTCTCTCATTCCAGGGTACTCCATGCATTAAGCTTTCACAATTAGTTTGTTTTTATAAAAAAAAAAAACAAAAAAACAACCCTGCTACATAGAATCCAAAAGCAAACAGACACAATTTGTTCTTCCCAGAGTATGTGAGAAAAAGCTTGGTACTTGTAGACTGCACTTAACCCTTACCAAGGGTTTTATTTCCCAAAAAAACCAAACACTTTGCAGTCTTTACCAGTGAAAGACAAGACAAACCACGTTTTCAGCCAAACCATAAAATGTGTACTCTCATATGTAATCACAAAACCTCCTGATGTTATAGGGTCCCAGCTCTGCACATAGGACAAAGGTGATTAATGCTAGGAGATTCCAGCAGTGGCCAAACCAAAGTTTCTTTGCCATTGGACTCCTCTGCACCTTTGGTGCCACCAAACAGAGCATCCCTGGGGAGGCAGGAGGAACACAGCAGGGCACTGGAGCGAGGATGCCAGGCTGCTGGCAGGAGAAGCCCTTACATGCTACTTGCAGGAAAAACAGCAGCTGAGAGGCTGGGATGGAGAGCCTGCCTAGGGACTGGGACTGGGACACATGACCCGTGGTGATGCATTTTTGGCATCACCTCAGTATCTGTGGCTTTGAACTTCCTCAGGAATTTGGTCAGAATCATTGACACTTAAAATCAGCTTCCTGGGGCAGTAGGAAAGGTTTTGCTGCTCACTACTGCCTAAAGAATAGGTTCCTGAAGGCGTTGTTGTAGTTTTTGTTGAAAGCAGTGTAGATGAGTGGATTAAAAAAGGAATTTGAGTAGCCCAGCCATAGAAAAATGCTCTTCCAAACGGGTGGGATGTCACATGAGCAGAGCGGGTTGATGAGCTCTGTGATGAAGAAGGGGATCCAGCAGAGCACGAAGACCCCAATAAGGATGCCCACCATGAGGGCAGCTTTCTTTTCCTTCTGCTCTCTCCACGTGTCTCCCTCCGTCTGGAACGTCACCGTGGCGTGGCGGACAGTGAAGACCATCTGTGGCTGCTGGGCAGCTTCTTTCACCTGCCAAACACAAACATGAGTTGCACCACATGTACCCCAGTCAGGGGAGCCCACACAGCAGTACAGAACCCAGCAGTGCAAGCAAGGCCAGGGCTCCAGGGAAACACAGACCATGCAGGTCACACTCTAACTGAGGGCAAGGTGGCTGTATAACCTCTTCTCGGTGATGGAGACTATTTAAGTGAGATTAGAAAGCAGAGTACTGAGGGTACATGGGGTTACTCACAGTACAGTACAATAAGATTACTTCCCCACTTACAATCAGATCAGCAGAACAGGCACACACCCACATGCCGGGCACAGAAGTCTGCTTACTTCCTCTAAACCCATTGAGTTTAAGAGTTCTTGGTAGGAGAGGAAAGAAAATTAGCACACATTTGCTTCCTCTCTGCAAGAAATCTTTACAGCGCAGAGTCACCGTGCCTGGGATGAACTGACACGATGCAGTCATGATCAGGAAAGATTTCCAAGGACATTCTGCACAAGTGCTTGCTCTCTGGGTAAATTCACAGTGTCCCCAAAGCCCCAGCTGGTTGCCAGGGTATCGTCCCCAGCAGACACAGCTGCCCATCCATCCCCTGTCCCCTTGCCTCCCCAGGGGAGGGACAGTGACCCCTTACTCATGCTGGTGAGCACTGATTCAGCATTCCATGGGGGGACATCCGTGAGTCACCGCTCGCCCACGTGGAGCTCAGGCTCGCAGTATGTCCCAAAGTTGTTCCAGCTACACCTTGAGTGCTCACACACAGCTGGGGGCTCGGAAGGAGCCAACAGACTGGGTTTGCAAGCTTTGCAGTCTGCCTTCCCTTGGAAGCCTCCAGGCTCCACAGGGCTTTGGTGGATCACTGTTCACTTGCACGCTTCTGGTTTAAGTTTGCCCCACTTCTACGAAGGTTTACCTGCTGCCAGTGCTTGACCTGAGCAAAACACAACAAGCTGACCTACCTCCAGTGCTTCTGGTGTCACGGGGGTGATGGAGTTGCTCTTGCGAGATCCAATCCGAAACTTGGCAGCCCTGTAGATCTTCCAGTACACAAAGAGCACCACGCAGAGGGGCAGGTAGAAAGCCCCAAAGGTGGAGAAGATGGTGTAGGAAGGCTCCCGGCTGACTTGGCACTCTTCACTGTCCTCTGAGTAAGTCTCTCCCCAGCCAAAGAGCAGCGGGGCCAGAGAGATGAAGGCGGAGAGCGCCCAGGTGAGAGCGATCATGATGTTGGAGATGCGGCGCCGGGTGCGCAGCGTGTACTCCAGGTGGCGGGTGATGGACCAGTAGCGGTCCAGGGCGATGGCCGTGACATTCCAGATGCTGGCAGTGCAGCACAGCACATCGAAGGAGATCCACACCTGGCACAGCGACCGGCCCAGCCGCCACCGCCGCCCGGACAACTCGTGCACCAAGCTGAGGGGCATGACGAGGGCTGCCACCATCACGTCGGAGACGGCCATGGAGGCCACCAGGTTGTGGGGCACCCGGTGGAAGCTGCGCACGCGGAGGATGGTGGCCAGGACCAGCCCGTTCCAGAGGAACGTGGCCACCACCAGCATGGCCAACAGGCTGAGGACCAACACGCTGAAGACGGAGAGATGGGGGGCCTGGCCGCCCTCGGGGCCGCCGGAGGACGCGCTCCTGTTGCCGCTGTCCGGCGTCGTATCGGCGAGGCAGCTGAGGTTGAGCGGGCGCTCCATCCCGGGCCGCGGGCTGCTCCGGGCTGCGGCGGCGGCGGCGGGAGGCGCTGCCTGCACCGGCAGCGGGGGAAGCGCCGCCCTAGCGCGGGCGCGGGGGGTCCCCGGCCGCCCCGAGCGCCGCCGGCCGCGGGGGCTCCGGGCTGGCGGCCGCCGGGGGCTTCATCCCCGGCACGGAGAGCCTTGCGCCAGCCGCGGCTCACGACACCCCCGGCCCGGCCCGGCGGCGAGAGGCGGCGGCTCCGCGGGCGCGGGGCTGCGCGGCTGGAGCGGCTGGAGCGGAGCGGAGCTGTGCTGGAGCGGGGCGGCTGGAGCGGCTGGAGCGGAGCTGTGCTGGAGCGGAGCGGCTGGAGCGGAGCTGTGCTGGAGCGGGGCGGCGCTGGAGGCAGAGCGGCCGGAGCGGGGCGGAGGAGCCTCGGGCGGCCCCTGCGGAGGAGCCGCGCCGCGGGCTGGCGGGACCGGGCCGGGCAGGTGAGTGCGGGAGCGGCCGCGGAGGGAGAGGGAGAGGGAGAGGTGCTGCTGCTTAGTCATGTCCGTGCGCGGCTCGGAACCGGCACCGGGCCGAGCGGGAGGGCAGAGCCGAGCCGCCGGTCCCTGCCCCGGCCGGCTGCCCCTGCCCGGTACGTGCCGCCCCTGCCCCTACCGCTGCCCGCTGTCCTTGCCCTGCACCGTGCGGGAATCAGCCCCGGCTTTGTCTCCCTTCCGGGCGTATTCCGTGCCAGCCGCACAAAGTTAGCATCCCTGTGAGATTGTCCCTGGGCTCCTCTAAAAATGGGTTAGTGAGGCGCCGCGGGAATTTCCTTGCTCCCAGATAGGCTCCAGTCTGCGCCCAGGAAAGCTGTTAGTAACCCTGGTTATTCTGCGTAGGGGCAATGTGGCAGGGGATTATTTCTTTGAGAACTTCTGTGCTGGCATTTCCTAACTTGTTGGCAATTGTCGGGGCTTTTATTAGAGATAATAATTCACTTGACTGCTCTTATTAATTGTCTATTTAATAACATCAGCTATTAATGAAATGCTTGAGCATTTCCTATGGTTTTTAGCACACTGACTGTGATGAGTAGTGGGATTCTGGGCTTCCTAGCAGAAGTCGGAATCTAACCCCAGCGAGCAGGATTCCCTGTGCCCCAGCTCCATGCAGGGATGCCAGCTCCAGCCCACAAGCCTTGGATGGCATCCAGGCAGGGCAGTGCTGGTGCTGGCACTCTGCTCCTCCAGACAGTCCTGGGATAACAGGTCCAAAGAGCTTTTGGGTCAGACAGGTGAGGTGAGAAGCTGGCAGGTGCTAATGTGGGCTCACAGCTTGCATCTCTTGGGGGAGAGGGAAGGAAGGAAGGGCATCTGTGTTCAGATCAGGTGACAATGACATTTGCTGGTGAACTGCAGTTTGAGAGAGAGAGTTGGGGGGAAGACACAAGCAGAGCTATTCAGGGGTCACCCATGCATCCCATGCTTGTGGTATACAGAGGGTAAAGCCAGACTGGTGCTTCCTTCTGCCTCTCCTGAATCTCTCTGGAATTTTTAATGAAAACAGCAAGTAACAATAACAAAGGGTAATGAACAAGATGTTTTCCACTGCTGCTGCTCGTTCCTCCGTGCTACCAAGGGAAATGCAAAGCAGCATATCCAAAACAGGTCCAGGGCCTTGTTTTGGTGGGACGGGATCTTCCCCATGAGAATTTATTCAGTGCTGTGCTATCCATTCTCAGAACCAGTGATCCTATTGTAGTACTGGAACAAATGCAGCCTTAGAGACTATATCATCCTTTTGGAAATAAACTGCCATCTTTTGGGGGGAGAAATTATTATTTTATCTTTTATACACAAGAATGCTGACAATTTTGGAATGAGTAGGTTTTTTATTTGCAACTCAAAGGACAAATAGGGTTTGCAGCCTTTCATAAAGCCTCTTGATTTAAAATTCCTGGTTTGTAAGGTGCAAAACATCATTGATTGTCATTCTATTGATCAAAACACTTAGCAGCTACAAGGCTGAGAGCTTTTTGTTATGTGGGCTCTTCCCAGAAAAAAAACCTATGACCCAGAATTAATAGAATCAACCACAAATGATAAAATATGTGCTCCTGAAAATAGATTATTATTTTTTGTTTCAGGAAGAAATAGACGAAAATTGCATTTAAAGGGAAATTAAAATAAAATGTATTAAATCTAAAGAAGTAAAAGCAGATTATGTTCTCATGAAAAATCATTAATACTTTCATTATTTTACTTACTCAACTTTAAAAAAAATATTTTTTTTATATACTCCAAAATTTAGTTGGAGCTGAATGGCTCAGTTGAAGGAAATGCTGAATATAGACAAATATACATATATATATATATTTATGTGTAAGTATGTATATGGAAAATATACATATTTTCCATATACATGTGTAAGTATGTATATGGAAAAGCAAAGGTCTGCACTTGGAATGGAATAGAGCTAAATAAGAGCCCAGGCTGGGGACTGACTGGGCAGACAACTTTATTGACAGGAGGACCTGATGAGTCTCCTGGACACATCCTGGAGCAGGAGCATCCTGGCCTATATGAGCAAGATTGTGTCCATCAGGTTTGGGGTTATAACCATTTCCCTCTATCCAACAAACCCTGGAATTGTTTGTCCTATTTGGGGTTCCTCACGGGGAGAAGTCCAGTTGTAGATAATCAAGGTGATGAGCAGACTCATGTATGATGTGTAAAGACAAAAAGAACTGAGTTTATCACTCCTAAAAAGAGAAGTTTAAGGGGAAAATCTTACTGCTGTCTCCAGTTACCTCAGGGGTGGGCATAGAAAGGGTAAAAGCAAACTCTCCTTAGAGGTGCACAGAGATCGGAGGGGATGCAATGAGTGAGAGTCACAACAGCAGCTGCTGACTTGGGGCTGTTGGTTGGTGAGGAGTTCAGGATGAGCTGGGAATGGGCACAGGCAGCTCAGAAAGCCACCTGCAGCGTGAGCAGCAGCTGGAGGGAGGGAATTCTGCCCCTCTGCCCATGTCCTCTGGGCTCCCAGTGTGGGAAGGACATGGAGCTGTGGGAGGAGTCCAGAGGAGGTCAGGAAGACGATCCAGGCACTGCAGCATCTCTGCTATAGAGGCAGGCTGGGAGAGTTAGGGTTGTTCAGCCTCTGGGGAGGCCATATGGCACCTTGCAGGACCTAAAGGTAGTGCAAGAGAGCTGGAGAGGGACTTTTTTAAAGGGCATGGAATGATAGAACAAGAGGTAAGAGCATTAGGATGATGGAGGGTAGGTTTAAATTGGATTAGGCTAGCATTAAATTGGAAGAAATTCATTCCTCTGAGGGTGGTGAGTCACTGGAACAGGTTGCTCAGAGAAGTTGTGGATGGCCCATGCCTGAAAGTGTTCAGGGACAGGTTGGATGGGGCTCTGGTCTGGTGGAAAGTGTCCCTGCCCATGGCAGAGTGGTTGGAACTAGATGATGTCTCAAGTTCCTTTCTGCCTAAACCATTCTATGATTCTACATTCCAATTAGAAATTAAGAAATAAATATTCACCTGGGGAGCGGTCTGAAATCAGTTAAAGCAGCTGGGAAATCTCCAACCTTAGCAATGTGCAATTTTCCAGTGGACATCACTGAATGACCTCATCTGACTTTGGAGTTATCCCCTCTTCAGTGGGGGTTGGACCAGGTTGGATCTCCAGAGGTCCTTTCCAACCTGCAACATTCCACAATTCTGATCCTGCATTCTTTGGGTGTGTTGGCTGAATGCACCACATTCTGGAGGTGACTAAATATTGTTGTTTTCAAGGACAAAATGCTGTTTACTTTGCACAGATTAGTAAGACCATTCATTTTCTCAAACTGTTGATATTATGCGAGCAGAAGGCCAAGATCTTTAGTGAGTGGATAATTCTCGTGGAATGATCACATCTGTGAAAGTCTCTGAGAAAAAGATCTATGTTACAAAGTCAGGGTTATTTCACATCTTCACTGATGGAGCCAGAGGAACTAAGTGACAGGACTTCCCTAGGTTTAGCAGCATCCACTCCAATAAAGACATTAAATGATGCTTGCTACTAAATGCCACTTACTGGAGGTACCTTCCAATTCAAAATATGTATCAGATGGTTGGAGGTTAGGAGGGAATTCACAATGTAATCTGTGCCACTGCCTAAATGCACATCCAAGTATTAGCTGCTCCTGAGCAAAGGGTGAATGGATTTCTGTTGTTAATCTCTATGGAGATCTTTTGAACCTCTGCCCTTATAACTGGCAGCAAAGGGAGAGGAGAAGGCTCAGGAGTTTTTGCTGGGCATGCTCAATGAATCAAAGAGAATTTCAGTCTCCAGGGTAGGTGGAGCTGCTAGGTTATACAAGGATTAAAGGAACACATATTCTCACTGTGTGTATACAGCACTACTGAAAGCTGTGCTCAGTTGCCAGCCAGACTGCTCAGTAAGTGTGCATCCTGTCACAGCAATTCCTAAACCTCAGGTATCCTCCACTTGAATTTCGTTTCACTTTCAACCAGCCTCAGTCCTGCTTCACACCACATCCAGCCATGCTTTTTGAACACCCTGGCAGAACACCCACTCCTCTCCTGTTGCAAAATGGTCACACATGATCACAGTGAGAATGCACAGACTGTGAGGTTGTTCTCATACCCTCAGAGCCCGTCCTCAGCTCTGATGTCACTCATGTCTTCTGAAACCAAGAGCACAGAATCATAAAATGGTTTTGGTCAGAAGGGACATGAAAGATCATCTAGTTCCCACCAAAGCAACCAAGGTTCAAAGCATCAAAGCTCAGGCTATGAGCTTGGATCATGATGCTTCATAGCTCATTTGAGCATTTCCACAGCCAAGCCGGCTGCTCTGGGTAGCTCTCTCTCTCAAGTTTCTGGTGTTGCAACTGGTTAACAATCACATATTTACTGGAGCTTGGACTTACTTGAGGTTTTCTCACATGCCAGCCAAGGGCCACAGTTGGAATCACCCTTTCTCTCTACTTCCTTCAAAGTGGAGCAATTCTCTGATTGAGA